GAAAGTGACTGTATCCCCCTCATGTCGACGATATACGTATACACCGGCATCCGAATAAGTCCGTATAAAGTCCAGGCCTAGCAGGGATTTATGGATTTTGAGGTTCCACTGTCTCGACGCTTGCTTCAGACCATAGATAGCCTTTTTGAGCAAACAGACATGGTCCTCCTTGCCTTTGACAATCCAACCTTCAGGCTGTTCCATATAGATCTCCTCGTCTAAGTCGCCATTAAGGAATGCAGTTTTTACGTCCATGGACTCAATCTCCCAGTCCTCAAGTGCAGCATGAGCCATCAAATAGCGAATTGACTCAAAACGCGCAACAGGGGAGAAAGTTTCATGGTAGTCTTCACCCCAGATCTGAGTGAAGCCCTTGGCGACAAGCCGTGCCTTGTAACGATCATCATGTTTGATGTCGTATACCCACCGGTTAGAGACGACTTTGCGATCCTTGGGACGAGGAACTAGTACCCAAGTCTGATTCTCTATTAGAGAGTCGTACTCTGATTTCTCCGCCATATGCCATTTCTCCGCTTCAGCTGAGTGCATCGCTTCCCAATGACTTTTAGGAATTGATGCTTTGTATTGCGACACAGCAAGAAAAGCTAGCAGAGTTTCTGCCTCCCGCTCAACTACATCCCCCTCTGAATCTATACGCGCATCGGTTCGTGCAGGAGGTTCATCTCCATAAGTATTTCCTTGTTGCCGATGTGGGTTCTGACCAGCACGCTCTCGACGTGGTCTATCTCGAGCAATACTTGAACCAGGATCAGCAGGAACATCACGACGAGTACGGTGACGCGGTTGTGGAGGAGGGACTGGAGGTTGTTCAATGGGAGCAGGATCGGGTTGTGGCGGCGGTTCATTTGGTGGAGCAAAGACAGGTGGATTAGGCAGATCAGGGAGAGGAGCCGGGTCACCAGGAAAAACATCTGGTTCACCAGGAACATCGGGTTCGGCATCCGATGGATCGAGGCCAGGAAACGGATGATCGTGTGGGGTAACACGACTTCGGCCGGTCAAGTCCTTACGTGCAGGGAAGACAGACTCATCGAAGGTCGCATCGCGAGACACAACGAGTGAGCGGGTGGCTGGATTCCAGAATTTAAACCCCTTGGTTCCAGATTCATACCCTACGAAGATCATCTCGACAGCCCTCTTGTCGAGTTTACCCTCGCGCTGATCTTTTTGCACGTGGACATAGGCTTTGCAACCAAACACCCTAAAGTACGAGACATCAGGGACAGTGCCATTCCAGGCAGTGATTGGGCATCGCCATTTGAGTCTGCGCTTAGGCAAGCGGTTGTATATATGGACGGCAGCTTCGAGCGCAAGCTTCCAGAAGCCATGGCTAAGTCCAGCAAAGTGAAGCATAGACAAAGCTTTCTCCATAATCGTACGGTTAAAACGTTCAGCACGTCCATTTTGCTGAGGTGAATCGGCAGAGGTAAGTTCATGCTCGATGCCATGCTGACGCAAAAAATCGGTAAAGGCGGCAGACGTATACTCTCCTCCTCGATCAGAACGGAGTCGCTTCACAGTCTTCTGAGTCTGATTCTCAGCCCACGCCTTGAACATCTTAAACGCATCAAGCGCAGAAGATTTGTTCTTGAGATAGGCGACGAAGGCAAAGTCAGAGTAGTCATCCAGAAAACCACAGAAGTAAGAGTATCCGTCGATAGACTGAGTGCGCATAGGACCATCCAAGTCAGAGTGGATAAGTTGACAAGGTTCAGTCGCGCGTGATGAGGAGCGAGGAAATGAGTGACGATGGGATTTGCCCCAGGCACAACCTTCACAGGCTGGATGCCCTTGAGGACGTGGGTCAATATTATCAACTCCCTTGGTGTTAGGAGGAATTTTGCCCAAGACGTTGTCACCCGGGTGTGCAAAACGCCGATGCCAGATATCATAGTTTGAAACCGTAGATTGAAGCGATGGAGGGCCATCCATAACCAGGTTAAAGTAGTAGACGTTCTGTAAGAACTGATAGTACGCCTCTAAAACTTTGTCCCCAGTAACCATATAGCCATTTTGCGTGTCTGATGAAAACATCAGAGATGATGAGGATTTGAAGATCGACATTCGCCATCCTCCCTGAAGAAGTATATAACCGTTCTTTTCAATGGTCCC